AATGGAAAAATCTATAAAGTGTGATGATTGAAAATATGCCATGATTGATGTTACCAACCACATGTTGAAAATGCCATTGGTTAACACAATTCATGATCCTACTACAGTACTACATTTTTTTAGCATGGTGCTTGATCCCTTGTATTTTTAAACCTTCTGAAACAATAAAAAAAGAGCAACTACCAATAATAATAATAAATAATAATAATAATAATAATAATAATGCATTAATATAGTTTAATTATGTTAACCAGTTGTCCAAATAATCAGGAAAAGTATTACAAGATGCATCCATCCCTTTTCGATAAACTTGTCCAAGGTCAGCTGGGATAGACTCCGGCACCCCCATGACCCGAGTGACCAAGAGAATGGATGGAAAGTGACTCGTCAATAGGAAAAATCTGAAAAAGTCTGCAAGCATCTCTGATGTAACTTACACATATTTTTCAAGAATCCCCATTTTTTGTCTCTAAAGGTTAAAGCACAAGAGTCTCAACAGTGAGAAAACAGTCGCAAATGAGAGAAACTATTCAGTGGAGCACTGACTGATGCTGAACCCTTTCAGGGACAGCGGTTACTGCAGTGGACAGCTGATCATGTTATCGGGTTGCAGGGTGCATGAAAGGGTTAAAGTTGCTTCTTCAATGATTTTCATCACAAAATGATTGCCCGGGGTCTTCGGACAGGAATCTTGGTTTAGTCATGATTAGAGCATTCCCGGTGCAGCCTGCCCGAAAATGCTTGTGGGGTGCATGGCATTACTACCACCGTCCAACATACCATCAGCACACAATAAAAAGCTCGCCAAGGAAATTGACCGAGTTGTCTTCTTCCTCACAATCAAATATCCCTAAGGGGAAAGGTCAGCTGCCGACAACAAGCAGTCCCTGTCTGGAAGAGTCATGGCAGACTTAAAACATTATTAGTGCTGCACCCAGGGTTGACATTTGAAATACCAAGCCCTGGGCTTGGGCTGAAAATAGGGAACCTGTTGTGTTCAGTCTGTCTGTCACTGAAGATGATGAGAAATTACAACAAGCAAAGAGTCAGTGACTGGCCACTTCGCTGACCTGCCATGTTCTCCCAAGAAGTGTGTGATTGAGGCAAAATGGAGGAATTCTATTTGTATAGACTACGTTAGTGAAACAGGAGCACTTTCTGCCTCAATACGTCCCCCTCCCATCCACTTCATCTAAGTGACCTCTGCTTCCGTAATCATCTTGTCAACTGAATTACTTCATGTAGTGTGAGTGGTTGACACAATCTCGGATTCAGGAGAAGCAATAGGGTTTTCGTCCGGGCCGTGGGACAGTGGACCAGCTCTATTCAATCAGCAGGATCATTGAACCTCTGCACTGTGAGGCCGACGTGCAAACCAGTCAACCCCCCTCCCCCCACCCCAATTTTATGTATTTCATTAACCAATCAATCAAAAAACATAATAAACATATTAAGTGATTTACAATAACATTCTGTATTTTCAAATATAAATTGAGGAGATATATATTTTAAAGCTGGAATTTTGACCAAATAATTTGATTGGAGTCCAGATTTTCTGTTCATACTACTATGATTTGGATTTTGAACAAATATAGCTGATCATAACCACATAGTCTCACTGTAATTATATAATACAAACATTTGATTTCACTCATGACTTTACTGTGATTTGAACAATGTTTTGTGGTTTTCGTGCTTGCAATATTATTCTGATGAGATATAAGATATATATGAGATATAAATCCTATAGTCATTTTTTTACCCGATGGCCCACCCATAGCAACGGGTGTGCATGCGTGATTCTTCTTTCTAGTTATATTTTTAAAAGCTGTTAGAATCACAAAAAATAAGAAGTGGTTACTTTTGCTGATGGAAAAACATCCCGAGTTGGTCAAGCTGTATCAATTTGAATAAATAGATATAATCCCGAAGAAAATCAGCATGTGTCCGTCAACTTGGATCAGCAAAAGCTTTTGAAATATTTCTTGTTTTGACAACAATCAACAATATATGTATAATGTATCCTCGATGATTGATAAGAATTATCTTTAAGGATCCCGTTTTTCATCCACCCACTGCTGGTATATGACAGTCAGAGTGATCTTTATTTGCCTTATCTTGTCTTGAAGCATCTTTTAAGACATGTCTTCCCCACATTTGTGGTCATTGTGCACAGTGTAGTTTTTCTTTGTCACGAATGTCATGTTGGCAGAGATCTTTTTTAGGCCTGCAGGCTGCAGTCAGACTTGGTTACAAAAGTGAGCAGCAGCCCCAAGCAAGACTCTCAAGCATAACAAAAACCAGCTGACCGAAAGCAAATGTACACCTGACTTTTGGCCAAAACAAAACGCTACACACACACACACACACACACACACACACACACACACACATACACACACACACACACACACCAGAAAATGTTCTACTCAACATCAGGATAAAAATGCCCATATGCGGTGACCTGCACTGAAATCTCAAAGACTTTTGTTGAAATCCAACATTCCAGCTGAACTATTGCACTGCTGTTCCCACTAAATAATAAATGAATATCTTTGCCGTTTTGTTGCAGAAATGATTTGTGGTTTATGTGATTAATCCAATTGAATCTCTTTTGATTGATAGTCTGAGAGGATTAGGGGCTGCATATACGATGTATTACGGTCTAATACGGCTTTCCAAGGTTTTACTTGACACATTTAGAAAGGTGACAATAATTTGACATGTCTGTCTTTATGTATGTATGATTTTTTCCAAAATAGTAAAAATACTTGAAAAATTTGGGTCACTAAACAATATCATAA